GTAGAAGATTTAGGTGGGGGAGTTGGTGGGGGTGGCGGTCGCAGTAGAGGAGGTGGTGGTGGTGGTGGTGGTGGTGGTGGTGGTGGCATCGGCTGCGGCGGAGGAGGCAGGCTTTCAGCAGCAGTTACGACGTTGGTAGGATGCAGGCCAGGCCATCATCCCCTGCAGCAACTCCGACAACATTGACGTTCTCTGTTGTGGTTGGCCTGGTCTACAGCGGAGTGCCATATTCACATTAGCATCCGCCCTTCCGGTAGGAATAAGAGGAGAGGGTGAACCTGGTCGGTATGGCTATGTGGAGGGCGGCTGCTGCATGTTTTCAGAATCGGTGTTCGGAAGAGGGGGGTGGGGACTCGTCCGTCCGTAATGGAGATTGCATTGGTATTCTGTTGAGTTTTCCTGTTTTACAATTGCTATATCATTTTCAATACATCCAACAGTCAATTGTTTGACTATAGTAGTAGGAAGTCTACTTTTGTTTTACTCCTATATCAATTTATATGTGGCATTCATTCTTGTTTGACTCTTGGATTGAGATCAACGGACTCTCGAAAAACGTTGCATGTGATTGTGTGGAGGGCTGATGCTGCCTGTCTGCAGATTGAGCATTCGGCAGCGGGTGAGAAATTGAAATTGCCCAGCGCACCATGCGCAAAACCCGTTTGAAAGACGTGTGGGTTGAGTGGGTAGCCGAAGCTCTCGACCACCCAGACACATATGCAGTCCAGCCTCTGGTCAGGACACTGGGAGGATGGCCCCTAGCAAACTGACATGGTGTCAAGGAGGTCATTGCTGCTTTTGAAGTTGGTGGTGGTGGTGTTACAAATATGTTTAGAACCTTGCCGGCTGTCCCGTGAGCACACACACATGCTCATGAGCTCTGGGGTATTGGAGGAACCACTAGATATCTAGTACAACAAGGAATGTCCAAGCCTTAGCCTTATCAAACATACAACAATGCAAAGTGAGCAATCTGGCCGAACCAAGATTCTTTCCCTGAGGAAAGAGACATGACCCATATTGCTCAGTAGTGTCTTTCCACTTACGACCATACCGAGCAGAAGGGCGCGGAGATGTCCTCCAGGGGGATAGAAATGAACTGATATCAGTGATATGTGAATGCACATGCTTGCGCTGTGCGCCACATCTCGCTCACGACGCTCAGCAACAAACTGTTCTTCGGCCCAATCGAGTGTAAGACTGGCAATTTTGGTCCACCGTGTTGCGACCCATTCGTGCTTGTTTCGAACACTCAGATAGTTTGCACGGTATGTGTGCTTAAACAGCTTTTTTTGTTTCCACTACAATAGCTTTAAGCACATTCTGAGTGTTGCGACCCATTCGTGCTTGTTGCAAAGACACTATGAAGAGACAGAAATTGGCGAATCGGCCGTCTCTTCGACGGATAGTTGCAGACATCACAGTGGCGAGAGAGAAATTGTCAAACGAGGCGTGTTTCTTTGACAGAGTTGCAAACACCACAGTGAAGGCTGATATATATGGGTTATGGGTTGTGATTGCAGATGCTAATGTGTGTGTACCCAGCTCATGGCTTCATGGATTCCATAAATACCCGTGGGAATCACTAGTGTTGAAAGTAGTATGGGTCATCATCTGATTAGAACGCAGAATGCCAATGTGTGTCGCAGTTGATGCATCGTTTGATAGGTGAAAATTTGTCTTGTCGGGCGAATGAACTTCTGATGTACTACGTATAATAATAAGAGTCGTAACAACCCATGATTGGACGCAGCCGATGGCTATTCCTTGGCAGAGTGTTTGTTTCCACCCTTTCAACGCCCCCTCTAAGGCCACCACTACCTGCAGGCCTCTTATTGCCGAGGCAGAAACGAACTGCGCTGCCTGCGCACCTTTTCTTCTTTTTTCTTCTTTTTTTTTGTGATTTGAGGATGACTGGATTTGACTGATCAGGAAATAATGAAAATTGCTGATGATTTGCGGATGATTGGATTTGACTGTGGCAAACTATTCTTTTGTCCCCTTGGCTGGCACCACCAGCAATTCTGATCCAGTGTCTCTCATCCTCCGAAGAATGCGGCATAGGTCATGTACCGCATTCTTACGAGGTTTCGAGTTCACCTGTGGAAGGTTGTGGCGGTTTAAACCAACAGTACTTGGCCCAGCTATCGGCCGCAGAAAAGAAAAAGGACAAGAGTAGAAACGTTCTAGTCGGATGAATTTGGGCACTCCTGTAGTGGCTCGTACGTTTCCTAAAACTGTGGCTTGTTAAAGCACCAGTACACCACATCCCGCCGGTGTCAGCATGAAACCCGCACAACTTCGGAGGCCGACAATTTTTATTTTTTTTCAACAGCGTCCCACGCCACGCAGCCCTGCCGAGTTTTGCTTGTGGCAACAAAAACGTTCTGCAAGGCTGGGGCCGTGTACTAGCGGTTTAAACAAGCACCCCATTAGCAAGTACTGGTGGTTCAAGGCTATGATGAAGAATTTTGTACAACGTTCCCGTTCTTAATCTTATTATGCCTCTTTCCCACAAAAGCACAAAGGTGCATTTCCCTGAGCCGCAGATCTACACTGCCAATGTGACCAATAATAATTTTGGTACCCTTCCACACCGAAGCTCTACTGGGCCTGGGTGCTGAAGATTTTCACCTGGTACTTGAAGACAAGAAAAATCAACAGTGCAGCAGCCGTTGGAGTGATGGTTTAAACCACCAGTACTTCCGTGAAAAAGATACGCCGAGATTTTTGCGGGCGGACTTCCTTGAAAAAGATACGCCGAGATTTTTGAGGGCGGCTGTCGGGTATATATAAGGCCGAAGGTCCGAATGCTATTTATCATCGACACGATATATGTGGGACGAACGATATGTGGGACGAAATGTATTTGATCCATATATTAAACCACCAGTACACCCGCACCTAAAATCCCGAAGCTACCTGCCCACTGCGCGCCGCTATTTTCCGAGCCTTCGGCGTGAGGGTACCTGCAGTGGGAATTTCGGAAGTGGCACCGGTGCCGGTGGTCTAAAAAAATAAAAAAAGAAAGGAAAAAACATGCCAGACTCGGCCAGAGATCAATGATGTCGTGGAAGGACGTCACCCAGGCTATACTTAAACGATTACTTTCCAGAATGCATCTGACCACTATTACAGGGAGAGGAAAACATTGCTGTTTTTTCCTTTTTTCTCCTTTTGTTTTTTCTTTTTTTCCCTGCCAGCAAGGCAGCGCATATTCCTCTTGCTCAAAACGCCCTCGCTGACACTAGGGCCGTTGAAATGCATGCAACCACTTGCACGGCGAAAGCTTTGTTGGCTTTTCTTTTTTTTTTCGTTATTTTTTTGTGAGTCTGATAGTCTGGCTCCCCGTGTTCCTCGTTCTTCCCAAGTGCCCTTACTGAGGGCAGTACTCCAAAAACCTTATCCAACTGCAATCATGGCCAAAGCTTGTTTGTTTGTTTGTTTGTTTGTTTGTTTGTTTGTTTGTTTGTTTTTTCCGAGTCTGAGGGCATACTCACATGGGGACTTGTAATCCCAAAATCCCCCAAAAAAGGGGAAAAGGCCGGTCACACGGATCTACCAAATTCGCAAATGTACTATTCCAGTGCCCCTTTGCCAAAAAGTGTATCCAACTGCAATCACGGCCAAAGCTTGTTTTGTTTTTTGGGAGTACGGATTTGACATGGGCCCAAAATTTTGAAAACCTTCTGACGCTCCGACCCTGCCCCGAGCCAGCCTTTTACTTCTTGCGGCAACAAGTTATTTTGCTGCAAGGCTGAGGCCGCACACTGGTGGTTTAAGATCATATACACCGACTACACGCCAGACAAGTTATTCTGCTGCAAGGCTGAGGCCGTGTACTGGTGGTTTAAGATCATATAATCGCTACAAATGAGGTGTTTCAATTTCTTCAGGTCTGTGTTTCATTAACTTTTCATAGCTTTTTACGAGGTTGTCCAGCTTCGCTCCCGAATCATTTTTGTGTTTTTTGGCTTTGCTTTTCCAAACGCGTTTCATAAGATAAATTTTTGGATAATGAATTCGGTATTGAAAATGATTATCGAGGAAGCTCGAATTCACGTGTTGTGGATTTTAATTTTTTATTTGAGAGGCACTTTTTTTCTCCGTTGCTGAAAACGGCCTACACGCCAAGCTTTGTCGAGCTGCCCACACATTTCAGACACTACATACAAACAAAGGTATCTATCGTACGTATGCTCATAAGTCATGTACTTTTTTGTTGTTTTTTTTCGTGATTGTTCGCCAATTTCTTTGACTACGATATTCAAAATGTTTGGATTCATTTTTAAGATTGAGAACATTCTCAATTGACTATGAAAAACTTTTCGGCTTTTATATGACCTGCAATTGCTACAGCGTAGCCTCCATTTACTGAATTCAAAAAAAAACCTTTTACGCGATTATTGTCACTTCGCCATATTTGTGTTAA